TCCAAGAAGACTCTTCCCAGTGCATTCAGACCCATGTTACTTTTCAAGCTGAAGACCTTGGTCTATTTTCTGTCGGTTGTTATTTTCTAAGAAGTTATTCTGCAGGTAGAGCATTATACTAAGTAATTAAAGCAAATATTGGTTCTTGATATAAAAATGAGTCTTTGCACACCAAATTTATTCTGGTACCGAAGCTTTGAGAATTTATGAACCATTAACATTCATGTGCAATAAAAACGTAACTTTTTTCCTACTAGTTAGATGTGCAGAGTTGTTAAATTTCACTTTCCAGAAATGGTTGCCAGTAGTGTAATTGAACAGTTAACTAAATATATTAATGCAGTTTACTTTGGTGTAATTAGAGACCTATAAAGTACATTTTAGCAAGTTGAAAGTGATAATACAGGCCCACACATCTGCACATTTTCAGCTTTGTAACATTACCTAGGCTGCTGGCGTGTGGCGACCAGGTCTAAACATCCCAGTGCTCTTAGAACAAACCAAGGAATCACACCTGTTTTGCAGGGGTTGGTGGGGAAAATTGTGCTTTAACGTAACAGATAAAGTACAAGATGATTTAGTCTGTGCAGGTTCCAACCACTTTGCAATCCATGGTGGAGAACTGTTGATTGGTTCAGAAGATGAACCCATCTGTGGGCCTAAGTTGTGGATGGTGCAAGCACTGCATGGTCTCAGAGTACAGAGTTGGCCAAAGTTGTACCTGGCCATGGCAGTGATGCAGAACCAGTTTTGCATCAGAATTAATTAGGCAGCAAGTTGCATGGCTGCTTCGCATGTATTCCCCCAGCAGGGAGTCACTTTCCCCAGTCTGGGGTAGTGCCATGGGAGCCGTGGTGTTTTCCTGCAGCCGGTTAAATGTATTTGCTTCACATTGCACTTCCTCTGCAAGAACAGAAGAGATCTAGATATATTCCAATGATAAGCATGCGTTCAGGCGACTGCAGAAAATAAGACCACAGGAACTGTGAGCATTGTTAGTTTTCCTTATCTTGTAATTCAGCCGAAACTTTTTAAAAGTGTTAGTGTTCATTACAGGACTGGCTCCGCTTGCATGGTCAGCGGCCTGTGGAACCTCAGACATGGCACATCTGCTCAGTGCCTCTGTATGCGGGATGCGAAGGCCAGTTAGTTAGCGAGCCAGTTAGTTAGCTGGTTAGCCCTGAGTAGTTGTTACGATCTCAGGTAAGAACTACTCCCAGACTTGTGAGCAGACCAGCACTTCTGTTGTGAGATTGCATAGGGAGACAGGATAACAGGGCTTAGGCTGAAGAGGTGACTGCACTTCGGCTTTTCAGACTCAGCCTGCTAAAACTGGCCAGCTTTTACATGACATGCTTGTACAGCAGCAGGGGCTTTCCCCGAGACTCCAGGCTGAGGGATGTGGTGTAGCTGGACAGTGCATGTCTGCCTGGCAGGGCTGGAAGTCCCTCTCCAGAAGATGTTCCAGCACAGCCAGGGACTCTACCTTATGCACAGGAGTCTGGCGGGGGTTGCTCTCTGGTTTTTCCCCTGCAGGTGTGTCACAGTAACTGCTTCCCAAAGTGTAGTTTTATCTTCATCTCCATGAAAAACATCCACTCCTGTCACAACTTGCTCGGAAGAGTAAGCCATCCCCAAAGGCATCTGTGGGAGATTGGCCATGCAGCCACAACTGCACCGTATGTGTCCAGGCTGTCCGTGTACCCTACCAGTGCCCACTGGGGTAGGCATGCACATCTCTGCAGGCCAGAATTCTGCACAGTCTCTTCAGAGTACCGGAGAAGGTGTTCATTAAAGCATCCTCTTCTCAGTGACTTTTACAATGCAAATCTGTCAGACTGCTCCCTGCCTAGAGACATTCATGCTTGGAAACACAGCTTTCTGCTCTGCATGGTCCTGGCCTGACAAGCTGTCCTAAACTCCGCAGCTACTGGTGCTTCGTAGTCTTTTGGGACTCCAACTTTCTCCCTCTGCCTCCTCCACCAGAAAAGTTCTCCAGGGTCTGTTTCCTCTGTGCCAATACAGTGGCTGCTACTTTCTCTCCACTGGTCCCAGGTCATCACAAGCTGCTGCCATTGACCATTTTGGCTTTTGTTATTGCAAAGATGGTCCCCAAAAACCTGAAAAAGCAGCCAAGGAGTAAGAAGAGCTTCCAGGACAACAGAAGGAAACTTTTTGATGAAATTAATGAGAAATCTTGCTTCCAGTGCAGCATATCAAAGCCAGGTCAAGGCATCTTTTAAACTTCACAGATATAACATTTGTTCCTCCAAGGCTAAACCCACACCCAAAATTTATGCACAAGTAGCAAACTTCTCTGGGCATTTTCACTTCCTCCCCATGCCCATGTTCCTGTGCATCTGTGCAGGATAGGCAGTTCTGATTAAGTGTCAATGTGTGAAAGCAGCTAGACAAAGAGAGATGCTGTGTGATTTGCACTGCTTTGCAGCCCTCATGAAGAACACTCATGACAATGCCCCAATTAACAATCTATCGGGCCCTAGGTTTCATGACAGGGAAGTGGAAAGCTCTGGGGAACTTCCAGCTGTTCTGCTTAGCAAGCTCTGTAAACCATAGTTTGAATGAACATCAGGCTCCTGAATGCCAGTGACACTGCACAGATAAAATTACTCAGAGCCCTAGGTGCAGGAGTTGCCTGAAACATGCCATATGGCTGAGTTCAGGGTCAAGCATCAAGAGCAGATTGTCAGAATGTGGCATCCGGAGACTCCAGGGCTCAGTTTCCTAGAGCTGTTCTCTATGCACAGAGACCAGAGCACACATTGCATCACCTTCCTGCTCTCAGCCCTTGCATTCATTATAGTGCCTCACTGAAAGCTGTAGGATGTCATCTCACACAGTTTCAGAGGTTTACCAACAGGACATTTCTAGCCTTGGTGTGGACTAGTTGCATCCCTCTTCTGTTAGCTGTAGAGTTACAAAGAGATGTTCATATTTTAAATATGGTGCAATGACATCAATAGTAATAATTATTGCATGCATCAAAGCTTTGGAAATTAGCCACGGATCATGCATCTAAATGGCAAATGGTTATAATAGCTTCATACGTGAAACATCAAAGTCTGAGGAAACGTTGCTGTGTTATAAAAAATACATCAGAATGATCATTCTACTCCAAGCAAAGTGCAGAACTGTAGACGTGCACGGAACAAATGCAACACATTTCATACTCATTTGGGTGTTTCAAGTATGGGAAAAATTGATTCCACAGCTCCAATTACCAATCCACATCAAGTGAAGACTGTATTGAAATTATGAGATTTCACACAATATTAGGCTTAAGTTGACTCCTCCTTGTGAAAATGTATTTATAATTAGGGTCTAACAAAGCAAGAAGCAGTATTTGGGGTTTAAATTTTTTATATGCTCCCTGGCAGAGAGAGAGAGGTGCCTGAGATGGCATAAAATTCTTAAAACCATGATGTTTCAAGTATCCTTTTGCTGAATTGAAATGGCGTTCTCATAGATTAAAGGAACTGCACTGTTGTTTTCTTTGTTAGGAGAAAAGTATTCCAAACTGAGAAAAGCACAGGCTCTCTCTGCTGAGCCTGGGGACAGCTACTGGAATAAGAAAATGCAAAACAGTCACTAGAACAACAGAACCTCTGAACTCAGCAACTGAAATTCCCAATTACAGATGTGCTACTGTTTCTCTTCCCTCATCTCAGCTGTTTAGCTTGATCACTCCCCTAGCCCCAGTGGGATGAACAGTGGGGAAGGATACGGTGTCACGCATGCTCCAACAGCCAAATCAAAGGCCCAGCCAGGTCTTTGCCTCAGCTATGAGTTTGGAGGAAATCAGAGACCCTCATTAATGTTTCAGAAAAATCTAACTGGTATGAGGACAGCATTCAAAAATGTATTTGGGGAAAACAAATATTGCTTTAACTCTATTAATAATTGATGTGTTGCCAGCAGAGATCCTCATAGCATTAAGGCAATTGAAAATTAAAGGCACAAAGACACTACTTTAAGAAAACATCTTGATAAATAGTATGTCATAGGCCTGCTGGAATCTGAAGAGTGTAGGTTTTAGCTTGTCTTGTCAAACCTATGCTTTTTAATACCACGGTTTCTTCCAGAATGAGAGCATGGTCATTTTCATTTTATATTGACAAAAGCTCTAGTTGTTTATGCTGCTCAGCTGACATAATTTACTGGCTTCTCTGTCAGTTGCTTGTGCTGAGCCCCTAGGATCCTAAGTAGCACATACCCAAAGATCACGGCTTTCTTAAATCAAGAGGGAAAAAAGATTGATGATTATTTAGAAAACAGAAGAGAACATGTCTGTTTGAGAGAAACAACTGTTTGTCAGGGTCAAACTGGATCAGAAGAAGAAACCCTGGCAATGCCTGTTTAGCAATATGATGTATAAATAGCTGGGAGAGGTGTCTTGGGATATGTAACACCCAGGAACAGCTGCTGTTTTAGTTTGTGTGTCTCCAGAGAGATGCATTTTCAATGGTGAGGCCAATCTTGGGGACCACACTGAATAATTCAGTGGCTGACACTTCTCCTGTACATTCTATCTGATGAGGATCTTAAGGACAAGGAATAGTGCAACCCAGCAATCCACAGAATACAAGCCCATCAGTATGACTTAAGAAAGGCTCGACATAGAACGTGCTAAGGGAAGTAAATACTGAATTTCTGCATTTCCCTGTAAAGCCACTCTCTACCACTGCTGTGAGCGGAGCCTGTGAAGAGCACTGTTCAGAGACACGACTGGAGAGTTTGGCTGATGCACGATTCCTGACATGGAGAGACACTGTAGTTTCAAAAGAGAATACTGAGCACCGTGTTAACTAGTAGGGCTTCTGCCATCTCTGAAAACCTGTGTGTTGCTGAAGGGTGTACGAGCTCTTTAAAGTCCTGATTTATTCCAGTACAGTCCTATCTTTTCGGTTATTATAATGAAACAACTAGTAAGTCAGGCATAATGACTGGCAGGCATTCAAATTTAAGAAACTGCAGAAAAGCATCCACATAACTATATTTATCATTTTATCCCTTTAAATAAACCAAAAGTGAATGCTGCTTCTTCATTACAAATGTCTCAGTGCTTTACATGCAAAAGTTTTGTTGAGATTGATGGAAATCATAAACACCCTTTATTTACTACAGCAACGTTAATAATTAAGCAGAAAAGAGAATATCCATGAATGCTGTTATAAAAATAATTCTTGTCCTAGTTCCAAGCAAAAAAAAATGTAAATTAGTCATTGAGAACATAAGGGTGATCCACAAGAACTATAAAGGGTAGTTCATTTTCTCCATTCCAGATAAAGTAAATGCAGTGGTCAGACATTTGTGAGTGCAAAATTATCCAGGTTGCAGCTGAGTGTGTTCTGTCTCGGGTAGATGCCCCTTTCACCACCCCTTGGTACACGGACCACATTAATTGGATCTGCCCCGTGCTGACCAAGAGCTCACCATTCCCGCCTGCTGTTGTGGCCGCTGGCAGCAGTCAGGCCCTTGTTGAAACTGGAATGTAAAGCGCGTGGGCTGGCACCCACTGGGAAGGCCGGGCCTGACACGCCAGAGAAAGGGTTGTGGAAAATCACCTCTTGCCCACAGTCCAAAGAAGTGGATTCCCTTGAAGAAGGATCCTAGAGTTTGAGTGGCGTTATTTCCTCTTGACTGCACTGCCGCTCCTCTCTCCAGTGCGGCTGCCCCGGTCCCTGTGGGGGCTCAGCCGGGGTATCGGGCAGCGCCGTGGTTGGGACACAGCAAGAGGGAGGCCACAGGGAAGAGCCACGCGCGGCCAGCTGCAGCGGTAAGGACGGGTGCTACGTGGGAGGGCTGCTACGTGGGCAGCCTTGGGAGCTCTTCTGTTTGAGTGCCATAAGGCCAGAGCTGCTGCCCTGCACGGGGAGGCTGGCTGCAAGGCTGTGCCTTCCCCTGGCTGCTCCTCCCCATCCTGCTGCTGCGGCTGTTTCTCCGTCCTTCGGTGTGTCCTTGCCGCTGGCTCTCTGTACTTCTGCTTCCACACCGGCCCTGCTCCGTACCCTCTGTGTTGCATTCCTCCACCTCTCCCTGCTCCTGCCTGGTCCTGCCTGTCCCACCGCCCAGCATTGCTTCTGCTCTGTCCTCCCTCTTGCTGCTTTGCTTTCCTGGTGTAGAGGCCTTCTGTCCACCCTGCTGCTGGCTGGCAGGATGAGCTTCCACGCCTGCCAGACAGCCCTATTGTTGTTGAAAGATGCTGACTCTGAGAGCCTCATCCCTATCGGGCAAAGCGGAGAGTCTGTCTGATTTAACAAAGCAGGGAAACAAGCCAGTCAGAGTTATCTTGATCTGAAGCATATTCTAGGAGTGATTAGCTGCCTAAACTTACACTGTAATTATCTGTGCTGAGTGGCTTCTGCACATCATTGCCCATTTTTCTGAGTGTTTTTATTTAAGTTGATAATGGAAAACGAATAAAGCCTTAGTTCCATTCTGATTTTGACACTTGTGCCAGAAAATATCTGAAGATGAACATTTTTTTGCTCACAGTAGTTAGATTAATATTTAATTTGCTGGCATCCAGCAAGCTGATTAGTTTTCCTCTGATATGGCTCAACTTTGTAATTACAGGAACTGGCTCCTCCTGGTTTGTGCCTGGGGAAAGAGGCTCGGAGACAATCCTGACATCACTGTGACCAGGATTTCACCAGGCTGACGCACTTCAAGGTTATCCTCTGAAATCTCTGCTCCTGGAAAGAGGTACAGACTGGGACCTGTTCCGTATCTTCTGAGGACAGAGATCTGTCCTTGATTGCATTTAAACTGGAGGGAATGAAAGTGGAAACAAGAAGCAGCCATGTCAAGTCTCAAGGAACGTGTGTTATTTGCCTGCTGCTGCAAGCCAAGCCCTCCTTGGTGACACAGCCCATCTGGTGCTGCAGGCATAGGGGAGGTCCCGCAGCACTACAGTTTGTTTTACACTGGGGATGGGCAGAGCCAACCCAGATACAGGAGATCCCCCCACCTTGACAGTAATCCTCTGCTGAGCCTGGGGAATGCTGCAGGCCTGTGCTTCCAGTGACAAGCCCTTGAATGACCCCCAGCACCACCGTGGAGGCAATCTGATAGAAAGCTCAGTGTGGCATGGGGGGCTGGCTATCTCGGGGCCTCTCTTTTGTCACAGCCATTAGCAGATGCTTGTGAAAAGCTTATAGCAGACAGGGCATGAATTACAGGATTATTTGCCTGTAGCCCTCAGAGATCCCGCTCACAGTCCTTCTGGAGTAGTGGTTGAGTCTGACCATCGAAATGAACTAGCAGGTGGGGCTGTGCTCCAAGAGTGTCTCTGAAGCCTCTCGAAACCCATAAATACACCTGGACTCCACAGCATTCTGGACAAAGAGCCACGTTCAATCCTGGGGTCATACTGCTCTTCCTCTTCCAGCCAGATATCGAATAATTTCACTGGCACCTCAGATTCTTGCGTTTTGAAAACAGGGGCTAGTGCACATTCAGTGTGCTCTGGTGATCCCTCCTGCTAGGGACAGTCCTGCCTTCCTGACTGCATTTGTAGGTGAGTCATCTGCCTGAGTTTTGCTGGACCCTCCTGAGGTGTGCAGAGGGCTCTGCCTGCTCTTGGGGAGGCAGAGGCAACAGGCAAACTTGCATCCTTTGTTCCCATGACCACGGTCCCAATGCTTCCTTCACAAATGGGACTACCACCTGCTATTCACTCATCCAAGTGATTAAGCCTTCCCTACTTGCTCAGAGAGCAACTACAGCTCAGAATCAAATTCAGCCTATAGAATTAACCCGTCTATGATGTCCATTAAGTCTGGAGTCCCCTGACCAGCCATGCAAAGTAACATCTCGTCTTAGTGCCATATTCATCCTGCAGTGTCAGTTTTACCCAACTCCTAAGCACTTGGTAATGGCAAGACTGTCAGGGTGTTAGTTATTCATTAGTTTTGATCCAGTTGAAGAATATATTGTTGTCATAATATGGCACATTGCACCGGTAACAAAACTCCCCATGCAGACAGGGATTAGGGCCATTTTTCAAATGCTGCTGACTGTTAATTTGTACATTGTTTGAAGGGAAAAGGTCTTGTTAGAACTCCAATTTGAACATTACTTCAACAAAGCATAGGGGCAGTTTTTGTATCCTCTCTGATAGCTAGGGGACAAATGGGTGCTGATGACAGGGATGCAGAACGCTAACCCCTATGGCAGTAAGTGCCCAGTGCCGCATACACAGTTCTCATTCATGCACCCAAAGCTAATCAGGTGAACCTCATTAAAATCCACTTGTTCAGCAGCTGACTGTACAGTAGCTGCTGGCTGCTCAGCCTCCATCCCTCATCGCTGTTCTCCAAAACTGTCTGCCAAAACATGATCAGTGAGAAGTTCAGATATTTTGTTTAGCTGTAGTACAATCCTGTCCAGGTGAGACAAGCACCAGGTTAGTGCCACAATGAACCAAGCACTGGTACCAGCCAGACCATGGGCAGCTGGTCTGCTAAGGAGAGGGATGGGAGATAAGAGGTTAAGTCTGGGAGAACTGGAAAGGAAAAGTTGATCTTTTATATGGAAAAGGTGAAGATAGCCGCAAGTCTGCAGGCTGGTGTGGACGGAACATATCTGGGGTGAGAAGGGGAGACCATTTCATGCCAGCTATAAGGTTCCTGTTGTGTCCCCACCACTGAGGAGTGGTGGGACAGAGACCTTCTGCAGTAATGTTCTTGCTGAGGCTCAGTGCACCTCAGTTCACATGTGCAAAGGGCAAAGAGGGAAGTGTGCTGTGCCTGTGCAGAGCTGACTTCTTGTGGAGCTGGGGGAAAGTAGGTCAGGCAGCACCCTTGGGTCTGTTACCTCATGTCTCCTCAGGCCAGAGGACTGTTGGGTTCAAGGGCAGCTTGACAATGGAATGCAGAATTGATTAACGTTCAGAACTGCTCCATTATTGAGCAACTATAGCAGATCTTCTTTGTATTAAAGCTGGATAATCTGGGGAGAAGGGAAGGAGTAGGGCTGTATGTCTGAGCCAGGGTGCTTGCTATTCTCAGTTCTTCCAAGTTCCTTTTCATCATTCCAACAGCTGCCCCTGGAGAGCTTTGGGAAGGAGGGATGGCAGATACTGTAGAGCTCACAGTTCAGCCACCAGTTCCCACAAGTTGAGTGTCCTGTTTGCTTCTAGACCAAAGTGGCAAGTGGAACAGCTGCTGCTGCTGGGGTGTTCTGGGCTGCGATGTGTCTCTGGACTTCCTTCACAAAAGGCAGGAAAATAAAAAAGGAAAATTAATCTCTTAGGGGCAAACAAATCAAACCAGCGACCTCTGCTACAGCTCATAGCCTGCTTAAACACAGGTCTGGACTAGAACATTTGTTGCAACTGTTTAGTGACCCATGCTCTTCCCAGATTCATCTTATGAACCGGAAAAGTCAAGTTGTCTGCCCATGTGCCCTGAAGTACTGATACTTGTTAAATCCACATGCTTTGAAAGTCCTAGAATTGAACTACTGGGTGTGTAGAGAGAAAAGCAAATAAAGCCGGCCGTGATATGTCTGTTTGATCTAGATAACATTCTGATAAGGCCTGATTTATTAACTTAAGGTCTGGTCTTAAGGCCAGGCAAGCCTCGTGGGGTCTCACCTTTGTCCCAGTCATAAAGTACAATGAGGCAGGGGAAGGAGAGTTTGAGAAAGGAGAGCCAGAAGTCCTATTTGCCTGTGGAGGTCTCTGAGTGCCTCCTTTCCAAGCTTTCCAGTTCACACAGTGCCATCAGTTAGCTGGCACTTCAGCTGCCTCTCTGTTTGGTGCCAGGCTCACACACTCTGCCTTGGGCCTGGCTGCAGTGAGCCCTGCTGCCCTGCCTTGGGGTGCAGCATCTCCAGGGCATGGTGCCCAAGGCTGCCTGGGGTGGCTACAGCACTCACCCCTGTGCTCTGCTCTCCTTTGCAGAATCTGCCCTTCCTTCTTCGAAAAAAATATTATAGTAAGAAAGCCCAGGCTGAAACCAAGTTATCAATGACAAGAACAATATGAATATCACCTGTGAACTGGGGATAAATAATAAAGCAAGACAAACACAAGGCACACAGAGGGTAATTAAAGCCACAATACCTAGGGACATTTCTAAATGAAAAAAATAATCTTCACACTGCAATTGCAAAATGATGCATCTCAGTGTATTAATTCTGCCCAAATTAGCAGTGCCTAAAGAACAGCTGACATTATCTGCTAGCTTCAGGGAGTCTGGTGGGGTGAGCAGAGCAACAGAGCTTTGGTTTCCAGCATGGCTTGGTCTTTGGGACCACAACTGGGGAGGAGGTGCTGCATTTCTGCATCTGGCTTCCCTGCTAACCTGCAGCTCCCTGTCGCATCCTGAGCCACCGCACGTGGCCTGAGCTCTCTGTGCGGGTAGGAAGGGAGCAGGTGGGTGCAGGATTTCCCCAGCAAAGCGTCTGCTCCTTCAGCCAGCTGCTGCTGCTGTGGCTGCCATTCTGTCATATTATTCCTTCACGTTTTGAAGTAGGGGAAAAAACTGGAGCAGATGAGGATCAAAATCTTTGTGGTGTCCAGCACCCTTCATGGGGAACTTGGAGCAAAATCACAGAAGTCTTCCAGGAGACTGGTTCATTTTTAATGATATAGGATTATAGTTTGTCTGTTTAATTCAGCCTGAGTGACATAATATCTTTCATTTGGACTTATTACCAGCAGAGCAGTTAGTCAGTTGGAAGCAGACCTAGGGCAGGGCATTTTGTCATTATTTTAAATTTTCTCTATCTGACAAAATTGAAGGCCTTGAAAAGACTAGAGCCATTGTAAAGGATAGAGCATCAGAGAATAGGTCACACAGTATATTAAAAAATGAAAATTGATTCATTCTTTCCTCTGTTGAATAAGCAGCTGTACTTTGGTCCCTGTGATCCATGAAATAAGCTGTCAGGGAAATAGGAAATGTGCCACATTTGAACTTCACTCATTGATTCCATTCTGATCTGAGGTACAGTATTAAAATGCATTACGGTGTGTATAGAATCTGCAGTAGTGACAGCAGCTAGGCCTAGCTTGCTAGTCAGTTGTCTGGGCTATTTGTTATTAAATTAATCAGTGCTTTACAGTGCTGGGACTCATTTACTTAGGTCATCTGGCCAGAGCCAGCTAACAGGAGGAATTTCACAAAAGTGACATTTGTTAGTTTTAAATAAAATCAAAGGCTACAGAAGAGGCTCAGGAGGAGTGGTTCTAACAAGATCTATTGGCCCTTTTATCTGGAGAAACAATTTTCCGGCAGTTCAGAGATTCTGACAGTAATCAATGTAAGAAGGGGTAGCGGAGACTTCTAGAATATGAGACGTTAGGCAAATTAATGCCTGCAACTCTTAACAGACTGCTTAGCTGCAAAATTAAACAGAGGACATTCCCGTTATTGCATAAAAAACATACTCAGTTTCATTTTTTATATCAGAACACACTGCCTTTACACACCTTTTCCCAAATAAAAAATAAACTTTGTTGTGCTGTTCTTAAGTGGCATACAGAGGACTGCCTGCACCTATTACTTGCTGTGGTAAGTCTATTTTATCCATACTGAAATGTCTTTTGCTTCTTTCATGAGTTCTTACAAGTTTTATTAAATAAAACATCATTTTTGCTGCCTTTGTTTTATTTGCCTCAAAATTGTGATTCATAAAGATGGATTTTTATAATTAAGGTAGAAATGAGAAATAACCCCCTATATATAATTTAAAATGTTGAAATTATAGACACTATCTAACTTCTGCTTTAAATCACAGGAACAAACTGCTCCCCATTAGCAGCCCTAATTAAATCCATTTTTCTATGAGTCTTTGGAAAATTCCATTTTAGAAAAGCTGTATTAAGCTCCCTTTTATTTCCTCTTGCTTTGTAGAATTCTCTGTTTGAGATGAATAATGTGTTGAATATGGTGTGTGATGGGTCTGTAGACTCTGAAGATATAACATGAACAAATATATTGTTCTAGAAAGCTGCTATGAGAACACTACTGAGGATTTAGAAGCATCTCAACTACCAGACAGGTAGGAGCACTACCATTCTGGCCTGAGGAGTTTATATATGGTGCAGGAATTGTCAAACATCATGTAGCAAATAGGCTGTGGAAAGGTGGAGGAGGCCTGGAGAAGGGGAAGAGAGAGAATACTGAAGCAAGCAGCATGTTGTTCCTCCTCTACACAGCACGTTCAGGTGTTGTGCTCCTGAGCGCCAGCCTACCACCCTCTGTGCCCTGCTGGTGTTGTCCTAGGCCTTTTGTGAGGAATGAGCAGTTGCACAGGAGTGGAGAGGGGAAAACTTTCTGAGGATAGCCAGCTCTGCTTTTCTTCACTCCATGCAGTCATATGGAGATGGGTTTTCTGCAATGCTGTCCCGAGTTGCCTGTAGCATCTGTCTGAGTCTTTGTGTCAAACGTGTCTAGCAGGGGCCATGCTCCTGCTGAACTCAGATTGTTTCTGCATATAGATCAAAACCTGGCCTGAGTCACTGCTCCTGTGCACAGACAGCTTTGTTAGGGTGATGCTCACTGATGACTTGACTGAGGAGGCAGTGCACAGACCAGAGAACCCACCTGAAACAGCCTCTCATTTTGCAGTCCTTGTGTGTGAAGATTAACTTACTCCCAATAACACCTGCAATAGTCCTAGAGCAGCAGGCTTACTCCTATCCTCAAGCGGCTCCATCATTCATTTACTGTAACGATTGGCTTCAGCCTTCGATTTCCTCTGTGGAGCGTATTGGAAAGAGAGAGGCTGAGCTGTGAGCATTAATAACAATGAATAATAACAGTACGAGTTCCACAAGCTTTAACAATCAAATGAATCAACAATCAGGAGAGTTTCATTAATAAATACTTGCTGGGGTTAGATGACAAGGGAACTAGTGCCAGAGGTGCGCTTATCAGTTAAAAGCACTTATCCTGTGTGATCTACCTCTCAGCTGCTCTGCTTACCTGGCAGGTCCCATATTCTCCTCCATGATCTGCCATGGAGTGGGCAGAGGCCAGAGGGAGCAAAGGAGTAGATGGCTCCTTATGAAGGACCAAAGGAGCAGATGGCTTGGGCTCTGTTAGTATCTATGTTGGGTTTATGTGACAACGTTTCGGTAGCAGGGGGGCTGTGAGGGTGGTTTCTGTGAGAAGCTGCCAGAAACTGCCCCCATGTTGGACATAGACCATAGTGGTTCCAGCCAGCTCCAAGATGGACCCGCTGCTGTCCAAAGCTGAGTCCATTGGTGATGGTGGTAGCATCTCTGTGATAATATATTTAAGAGAGGGAGGAAAACTGCTGCACAACAGCAGCCAGGAGAGAGATGTGAGAACATGTGAGAGAAACAATTCTGCAGACACCAAGATCAATGAAGAAGGAGGGGCAGGAGGTGCTCCAGGTGCTGGAGCAGAGATTCCCCTGCAGCCCATGGTGAAGACCATGGTGAGACAGGCTGTCCCCTGCACCCATGGAGGTCCACGGTGGAGCAGATATCCACCTGCAGCCCCTGGAGGACCCTCTGCAGAAGCAGGGGGATGTGTCTGAAGGAAGCTGTGACCCCATGGAGAGCCCACACTGGAGCAAGCTCCTGGCAGGACTTGTGGCCCCGTGGAGAGAGAAGCCCATGCCGGAGCAGGTTTTCTGGCAGGACTTGTGACCCCACAGGGGACCCATGCTAGGGCAGTCCATTCCTGAAGGACTTCAGCCCATGGAAAGGACCCATGCTGGAGCAGTTTGTGAAGAACTGCAGCCCGTGGGAAGGATCCACGTCGGAGAAGTTTGTGGAGGACTGTCCCGTGGGAGAGACCCCACACAGGAGCAGAGGAAGAGTGTGAGGAAGAAGAAGTGGCAGAGACAATGGGTGATGAACTGACCACAACCCCCATTCCCTGCCCCCTGCATGGCTCAGGGGGAGAAGGTAGAGAAGGGGGTGAAGTTGAACTTGGGAAGAAGGGAAGGGTAGGGGGAAGGTGGTTTTAGATTTGTGCTTATTTCTTATTATCCTACTCTATGCTGATTGGCAAGAAATTAAATTAATTTATCCAAGTCTGTTTTGCCCATGATGGTAATTGCTAAGTGATCTTCCTGTCCTTATCTTGATCCATGAGCCTTTCAAGGTATTTTCTCCCTCAGTTCCTGTTGAGGAGGGGGAGTGATGAAGCGGCTGGGTGGGCACCTGACAGCCAGCCAAGTTAACCCCCCCCCCGGTGTCATGCTGCAGGAAGGCATGTGCCCTTCAGTGGCAGGGAGGTGGGTGCTGCTTTCTCTTGGCCTCTGGCCCCCACCCAGAAATCCCTGCTGGGTTCACTGCCTTACTCTTCCCGCTCTTTGCATGGTACCACAGGGAGCTTGTTACATGGCAAAGGCAGTGGTGCAGAGCCTGGGGTGGCTTGTACTCCCTGAAAACACTGGCAGGAGTGGGTAAACAGAAGTGGGTATAATGCTCTGCCATTTTATTTATAGAAATGGAGTAGCTGCTTTGTGACTTGGAGTAAAATATTCCTCTTCTAAAGCCACCAAATTAAAAGCTGGGAAAGACCTCTTAGGTTACAGTATATTCCCCTCAGGACAGAGTGAGAGGTGCTGGGTAGGGCTGTCTAGCTCATCTTTTTCAGCTTTCTCTTTGGGTGAGCTGAACCTGGGCTGGGTTTTAACCTTTTATCTGGAGCAAATTTCTGTGCCAAGAGGAGCAGCCCTGGTTATTAGGCTTTTACTAGCAACAAAAAGAAACACAGGCTTTGTTCAGTCTGGTTCAAAATCCAGTGTAGAGCAATTGTAATTCAGCTAAGGAAGGTTTGAGGGCCAAATACCAATGTGTTCATTCATTTCAGGAAAAGAGAATGACATCTTCTGTAATCATGATTAAAGGCGCTGTTAATGTCTCTTTCAGGTTTTCCCCTTACCATAAAAGCAAGAGATGTGGTTTTCTCTCTTTGGAAATTGCAACAAATATGTCATCTGCCTTTTCTGTCTGTTAGAAGTCCATTTCGTAAACTTCCATGTTTTAAATAATACAAACTATTTTCTACCAGAAGCCCTACCCTGGGGCACATGATGCTAACAGAAAGGAAAATTGGTTTCAAGAGAAATCACAGAATTCAGGGGTAAAACAGAGCTCTCTACAGTTACAAGGGGTAAAACGGGGAGCTGTTGTGCTGAGTATCTGTTCAAGAGTTAGGCTGCCTGACAGGAAAAGATGCCTCCCTTACAAAGGTATGGGATTTCACCACAAAGACAGGGACTGTGAACCCCATTCCAGTGCATCATCTCATCATTTCCTGCTGCTTTTATGCATTCAAGTGACTCTGCTCCAGTCTTTGAACCTCCTCCACCCTGTCATGTCAGGCTCCACATCACAGGCTAATTATACTGCAGGGCAAGTGTGTTATGCTGCTGGGCTAGCAGACCTGAGCTGCCTCTGGGTGAGTGTGGAGAGTATTTCACGTCGCAACAGACCTAAGCCCTTTGCACACCTGTACCCATGATGAATTGTGTGCACATCTGGCCCCTGCATGGTGGTAATGGAAGTGGTGCTGGCTCAGATGAATCTTCACAGTAAAGGAAAAGTGCAGATTGGCACTTGATTTCTGAGAGCTCGGTGCCTTCTTCTCCTGCTCCATAAGGAGTGTCTCTGTGCTTGTGTCCCATTATGTACCCTGTGACCAACAATTTTGGAGTGCAGAGGTGCTATAAGGTCACAGGGTGCATGTGCCCAGAGAGAGCAGTGATGGAGCTTCAGGCTCTCAACAGTTTTTAAGTTCTTTTCTGTTTGATGGCATCTGTCAGTTTGGCCACCCAACATCTGGACAAGTCATCATTGCTGAGCACATCTGCTGACACCCAGTGCAGTCCATACTTTTGACATCAGAGGTTTCGTCACTCCTTTGGGCTTCATTCTCAGATTGCTCTCATCTCACAGGCCTAACAGGGCTTGTAGCGGTAACATACAAAACCACAGGACTGACTTGCAAAATGAACAAATAGATCACAAGAAAGCACTCTGGACTCTGATGGCTTCTTCTACTATTGATGTGTGCATGCAACGTGGCCAGAATTGTCACTGTGACGAGTGAGTCACACCACAGACATGTATTGAGTCCTGTGGCCTTCTGTAGTTTTTGCTTTCTGACTAATTAATGCTGTGCAACAGTTGAAGCTAATTTCTCTTAGTGCTGTTGCTTTTCATCTCGTATCTGTGCTTTGGTATGCTTGTTGCCTAATTCCACTGAATCCTCCTCTTGGCATCAGGAATCTCTTGTCAAATGGATAGGGTGCTTGGCAGCCTCAGAGCTCTCCATCTTGTTCCTCTGTAGCCTTTGAGCCTCTTTGCCTTTCCAGGTTTTAGAGGCTAAGGGAGGTACTGAAAAGTAACTTGTAAAGTGCCATGTGATGGTTTATTTTTGTGCTATTCCTGAAATGCAAACAACAGCCTGTGCTCTCATTTTTGTCCCTGATCATATATGGGTGTCCTTATTTCTTGAGGACCACTGGGACCCCTTTGAATTTCTCCTTTAAGTCAAGTTCACTTGACAGTCGATATCCAAACTTCTCATACAAGATGGAAGTGCTTCTCCTTCCACGATAAAGCTCTGGCCATTGCTATTTGAGTGCCATGCTGGCATGTGCTCTCAGCTCGTGCAAGGGCACTGTGTCTACAGCACTGGCAGTTTGGGGCTTTGTTGCCTTAACTCTGCAATTACTCTGACCTCACAAGTTGGGTACACTTACCTGGTGGAGATCTGTGATCAGAAACCCCACCAGTGCTCCCTGTGTGTGCATTGCAGCAGCAGAAGCTCCAGGCTCTGGATGGAGCCAATTTGCAAAATGCTGACCAGTCACAGCAATGAGGTCTTCTCAGTCCACTTTCCTAGATGAGTCAGACTGTGAGGTGTAGTGTCCAGGCTGGCTGCCAACACAGTGCTTTACATTCTGCCTGAAGCTCTACTGCAGTTCTGATGGATAGGATATCCCTTCTCAGTGCCGCCCTAATCTACTAGCTGCATACAGCTGCTTCTTTCCATTTCAGATGTGGGTAGAGTGATTCCACACCAACAGTAATGCTGTAAAGGCCTCTAGACTTGCAGAAAATGTTATATAAATTAAATAATAGTAATGATTTAATAATGATGCTGTTAACAATTGTGAACTCAGCCAGAATTACAGCCTGTTCAGTCTGTTCTGAGGGTGGGACTTGCATTTGCCTTTTCTCCTGCTGTGACAAGCTACTATCATTGTTTTTTCAGCAGAAGGCCCCACAGTGTGCCATGCTGGACGTTTCTAAGGACTCTGTAGATGTTTCATAACCATGCTGTTCTGGCACAGCACTGTCTGTGTTCCGGACATGTTTGTGCACTTTATTGCTTGATTGTGTTGGTAGGTCTGTTACGTTTTGCTCTAGCAGTCTGTTGGATTTCACTCTTTTACCTACAGTGTATTTTCTAATGCTCTCAATATTAGTGTAAGGAGATCTTCACTTTTTTTCCAGGACATATTTAGAGTCTTGACAGATGTGGCCCCTACGTGTTGGTAATACAATGGGAGGTCTCTGGGAAAGGCCAAAGCTGTTATGGGCTCATAAGAACGTAGAGTCATGAAACAGCCCTGGAATGTGAAATATTGGTTAAAAGTGACCAATGCAGATATGAATTATTAAATCTATTAGCATGGAGCTGCCATAATGAAGTGTCAGATTCTTCACAAAACCAATTCCTATTAAAAAGACGTAAGATTAAAAGCAGAGTAGATTCTAAAATGTTGGAAACAGAGAGAATACAGTATTGATCATCCACACCAGTCATGTCTGTTTCTATTTAGAAATTTGAAAACTAGATTCATGAATTAATGATTCAGTGTCAAAAAGGGGCCCAGAGGGAGCAAATCTATTTAAGTCATGTGTCTGTGACTGTAAAAACCTCAGCACCATTGGGAACTGGTAAGAAGACAGTAATGGGAGAGGGGCTGAGTGGCAGTGATTTCAAACCCCAGCATGGACAGGACAGGAAGGGGATATATCAGATTTTAACTCCATGAGAGTGAATAGGCATTGAAGGTCTGGATTCTCAGAGCACACAGCAAGCAGCACAGGGATAAGAGATAACCAGTTGTATCACCCACTGGGTTGAGGCTCAAGTTTTCCAGCTCAGCCATTAACAGTCGTGGTGGGTTAACCCGGTCTGGCTGCCAGGCGCCCATCAAGCTGATCTCTCACTACCCCTTCTCAGCAAGATAGGGGGAGAAAACAAGATGAAAAAGCTCTCTCTGAAGATAAGGACAGGAAGATCACTCACCAGTTACCATCACAGGCAAAACAGACTTGACTTGAGGAAGATTAATTTATTGAGAATTAAAAATAGAATAGAATAGTGAGAAAGAAAAACAAGACTAAAAAACACCTTCCCCCTTCCTGCCTTTCTTCCCAGGCTCAACTTCACTCCTTCACTCCCAACTCCTCTCCTCTTCCCTCAGAGCAGTGCAGGGGGATGAGGAATGGGTGTTGCAGGCAGTTCATTACACTTCGTTTTGTGGCTCCTTCCCCCTCATGCTCTTTCCCTGCTCCAACGTGGGGTCCCTCTCACAGGAGACAATCCTTCAGGAACAGACTGCTCCAGTGTGGTTCATGCATGGCCACGGTTCCTGCCGGCAGCCTGCTCCAGCATGGGCTCTCCATGGGGTCACAGCTTCTTTCAGACACACCCTCCTGCTCTGGCACAGGGTTCTCCAGGGACTGCAGGTGGATATCTGCTCCTCCATGGAACTCCAGGGGCACAGCCTGCCTCACCATGGTCTTCACCAGAGTCTGCAGGGGAACCTCTGCTCCAGCACCTGGAGCATCTCCTCCCCGTCCCTTGGTGTTGGCAGAATTGTTTCTCTCACATATCCTCACTTTTCTCTCCCCAGCTTTTGTGCAGCACTTTTCCCCCTTTCTTAAATATGTTATCACAGAGGCACCACTGGTGTTGCTGGCGGGCTCAGCCCAACACAGGAGCAGCTCCTGGTCTCTTCTAACTGAGGTCACCCCTGCAGCCCCCCTGCTACCAAAAGCTTGCCACGTAAACTCAGTACAACAGTGACTGCAAGTCATTAAAAAGGACCTGCACAGACACTGACACACCTGGAAAGAATTTGTGTTTGCTCTGAAACTTGTGCAGGTGTTCTGGATTTTCCTTACTGAAGCTGGGCAGTTTTAACTCACTTCAACCTGAATCTCTGCCCAGAGAACCAGAAAGTACATTACAGAAGACTGGAAAAATGCAACCAAGGTAAGAAGCAGAAACTTACACCCTGAGTTTGCCTTTTGAGATTGAGGCTTATGATAGGAATTGGTAAAAGATGTAGAAACAAAGTTAAAGAGAGGCTTTTGATGGAATGTTTTGCTTCCAGGGATAACAGTTATCAACATTTCTTTGCATAAACTTTCATGTCTGACTTTTTTGATCAGTTCTCATATTTATGTGTGTGAGCCTCTCTGGGTGAGGGTTTGTGTTCCTGAATATAGGGCTAGAAGTCTGGGGAGACCCACACTTCAGTTCAAGCCTTTTCTCCAGTTACCAGCTGATTTCAGAGACTGTCCCACAGTCGTACAGCTCTTGGAAAATGTATTTCAGTTGCCCATAAATTCATTTCTAAAGCTTCAGAAATGCCTTTTCCTTTAACCTTTTCAGTGTTCTAAAATGCAACATGTGATCTGTGAAGAAGGGTATACTTTGTGTCCCTACCAACCAAGGTGTAATCATGCTTGAGAACATCTGAGCTTATTTGTTACTTATCTAGGCACATGCATGTATAATTCTGGTAATGTGTGAGTAACTTGAGTAACTTTTCCTGGTATTGTTGCCTAGGGGGATGCACTGTGAGGCAGGGAGTTTAGGTTTTTTTTCTGTTATCTGGTGCTGATTGAATGCATGGCCTTGGGAAAGTTATTTGACCTCTTTGTGGATCGTTTTCTCAAAAAACAAAATGGGTATAAGGAAAATTGTCCACTTACATATGCACTAGAAATCTAAATTCAAGTAGAAAGACAGTCAAGAGATTCTGAGAGGAAGTGTAGAAAATACATGAAAACTTAGTGTCTGAGTCAGGGGGAGGCATTTGAAAAAATTCCTTGTTTGCTATCGGTATTAATGTATCAAGTGTATAAAAGGTCCTTCTCCGTTAGCTGCTTGTATTGTTGTTATGTGGGGCACTGGTACATCTTCCATGTCACCCATGCCACCGGGTGATAGAACAATTTCATAGATTCTACTTGGTGTAAGGTAGTAATTCTTTGTTTTATGTATGCGGACACACATTTCTCTAATTGCTGTGCAATGTTCTATATAAAGCTCCTTGAAATGTTTTCAGTGAGATCAAGTAACTTGTAAAAGCATGTTTTACTCAAGTGGGATTCTCATCTATGTGTAGCTGGTCATTTATCGCACATCCTCTTTTAAACTTGTGTTGGGCTGGTGTAATCTTTTCTTGGCCTGTATTTGGCAGCCTGGCTGCTTTCTGGTTGTGCAGGAGCTAATGGCGCTGCTGTTCACACCTTCCTGTGCATTCATTGCAACACCTTCCCACACATACGATTAAAAGACAAAACTTAATTTTGCAGAAATTAATTGTGTTAGCAAAATGGTTTTTAAAACACTCTGGAGAATGTTCTGTCAGCTTGACAGATGAAGGTAATGCTACAAAATGAATTTTGTTGACAAAATAATTTCAGGGTGTTGATAAAATGCGTTTTGTCTTCAGAGTGAAAAATACCAGACTGACAAATACTATTGTCCTTAGAAGTGTTTTTTTCAGCTGTCAGTCAATTATTCCCTTTTTAAACCAGCCAATGATATCTCATATCTGAAAAAGCTTTCATAAAAGATAATGTAAAGCTCTGAAGGACAAAATAATTAAACTTTGATTTGTTGCTTTCAAATTGAAAACAGCTTTGTTACTTTGATGAACAAGGATGGGTTGCCTGCGAAGTGGAAACAGGTGGCAAGCCTTTGACGGAAATTTGACACGGGTTGTGGAGAAGAGAGGGTAGATTCAGAGCTGGGTTTCTTGAAACAGCTGTTCGTTTGAAAACTTATTGCTAGACTATCTGAATACGCTGCAAGCTTTTAAAATGGCTCTCCTGCAGATTTCACAAGTCGTCTGCGTGTGCTCAGAAGCCTAATTTCTTCTTTCCCTTATGTCGCACTCGAGCGTGTGAAAAGGGACGCGCATCAGCCTTCTGCCCGGCGAGGGCTGCGGGCGGCCGGCGGCAGCGCGCTCCCGGTCGGGCAGGGGCCCGGCCCGGCCCGCCCGCCGAGGGCCGAGGGGCCCGGCCCGCCCGCCGAGGGGCCCGGCCCGCCCGCCGAGGGCCGAGGGGCCCGCCCCGCCCGCCGAGGGGCCCGGCCCGCGGGGGGCCTGCTCCTGGGCGGCCGCGCCGTTTCCCGCCGGCTCTGTGCGGCTTCCCGCGGGTCCTGCCTGCCCGCCGGGGCTGCCTCGCCCCCCGTGAGGCGTTGCCTGCCCCTTGCCACCCCGGGTGGTTACACGACCGATTCTGCACGCTGCGGCCGGGAGGGCCTGGGCTCTCATCTCGCCTGTTTGTAGGACGGAGGCCCTTTCCAGAGCAGCAGCCCAGAGACCTCTGGCTCTGTGTAGAGCAGGGCAGGGTAGGCAGAGGCTTCCCTGTTCTCTGCTGCAAGGCAGAGAGAGCAGGTGAGGCTGCTGCTGCACGCTGCAGGGGAGGCAGTGCTCAGGAGCTGCCGAGCTGCACGGCCTCCAGATGTTGAGACTTTGCATCAGTATTTCCTGTGGTGACCCGGTGACATCAGCAAAAACATGCCTCTGGGGCGTAAGCAGATGGCATGGCTTACAAACACTGCTACCATCACCAGGTTTCTGGTTCAACCTTAATAGTATGTACTTGGAAGAAAATCCATGTGTCCTTTCAGCAGCTCCCAGGCACACTAGGCCTTTCATCATGACAGCTGTATCAAGTCAAGCCCAGAAAATCAGTGCTAAATCTGATGAGATTTTATTTTTTTAGTTAGTGGACCAAAGTCCTGCCTGCTGCAGCCCACAAAAAAGTTAAGCAAGTTACAGTAGGAGTAATTGGACTCAATATAATCTCAGTCACTAAGTGCATGGAGCTGTTTCTCCTAGGTGCTGTTTTGGGTGAGGATCTCTTGGGCTCTCTAGGCATTCTGCTGCTTCCCAGGAGGGTGGCGTGCCAATATTTTTTCTGAATCACTCTGGTTTCTTATTGGGATCTTGTGTTCAACAGACACATCCCCTTTTGCCCTGCATCACAGAAAAGGGAGGAACAAAATCCTGTGTTATGTGTGAACTGGACTCTGCTGGGATTTTTCAGGAGGGTTGAGCTCAAGGAGATAGTCTTGTGATGAGGTAATGATGCTTCATTGCTAGGTTGTATTTTTTTCTTTTTTATCAATACTGGCATAACTAATTACATTAAAGCATAAATGACCTTGTTGGAACAGCTAATCTTAGTCAAATGAGTGTGCCACTCCCATAAGTCACTGGAATGACACTTAGCATAATAGCTCCTTAATATGTGGAACATCTGTTCTCCATTTTTGTAATAATCGGTGACTCTTCCTCATTACCTTCACTTACTAGTGCCAAAGTGAGCCAGCCATTCCTGGCGTAACATTTAAACTTTTTCACTTCTGACTGTATGGGGTTTTGAAACCACTGACAAGAAAATAATCAGTCAAAACCTATAAATCATCTGAAATCCCAGTTACAATTAATGTGTGATAATTAACTAATGGTAGTTAATGACACTGGATAATAAATTAACAAAAACAGTTTCTCTTTTGGAATTAGAGTAATAGTGATGCAGTAGCCTTAATTATGCCTTCAGTCTTGCTTTGAAGGGGGATTGTCTTTTGCTTTAGGAACAGTAGGATTGAAACCCCACAGTGGATTGTCTTTTAAAACATGCTAATAAATAAGAACCTTCTGTGGCCATCTAGTCAGGCCATACCATAAGCAGAACTAGCTGTCTGCATTAATAGCTGCTCTCATTGCAGCAGTGCACGGGCTACTTGAACAGTGTTTCGGGAGAGCCAGGGGAAGCGATGGGCTTCCTGAGCCCCGGGAGGGTGGTGAGCTCTGGTTGTTTCCCTGCTGAAGAACAGCCCCAGCACTGTCTGCTCGGGCACTTCTGCAGCTCGTGCCAGGGACACTGTCATGGGCAGACTGTGCCTCAGGTGACAGAAGAGCCATGTTTGGCTCATTAGGCTCAAACCAACCCCTCCAGCTTGGTTGAGCATGGCAGGGGAATAGGATATGGCCATTTCCTGGGGGAACTGGGTTGTCTGAATATTATTTGCTGATTGAACTTCAACAGAACCGTGCTTACCCCTTCAGTGCTGTCTGTCTTTAGCAGGCAGATAGCAGCCTGTCTTCTCCCTGTTGGGGTGTGGAGGACAGGGAGAATGAATGCACACCTACTAATCTGCCTTCAGTTCACATCTGCCTTTTAGGCTGCTTGGTCCTGTGGTACAATCACACCAATGCTAGAATAACACCTTAAAACCAATCATTTTTATGGGAACACACATAGTATAAAAGGTCTGACTGTCTGTGCACACATATACCATCAGTGGCTATTACCCAATAAAGCTGTCAGGTAGAGAAACATCACAGCAAGTCCTTGAACAATATCTTCTCAAGTTTAAACAGGGGAAAAAGCTCCTCACAATTCATTTCTCATAAAAATAAAGAAAAGAGAATCAATACAAGCTGAACAAATGAATCAGAGTTGCTTCCTATAGACAAGGAGAGAAATAGGGTTTGAGACCACAGGTGCTGGCTTTGGGAGGGCAGCCCACTGGCCATGCAAATCACCCTGACAGACTTGGCAAGAACCCTCAGCTGCTAAATGCCAGTGTTAGCTGCATGCATTGTCTTTGCCCAGAATTTGACTTTTTTTCTGGAGAAGAGCAGGAGCCCCCAGTTCTTCCCAAGAGCTGACAGGCCAGGGACTGCCAGACAGCCGTGCTCTGCTTTCTCCACGGTGAGAAGAGTCTTGGCACAATCACAAACCTGGAATAATGAGCAGGGTGTAAACGAGCTGCTCTTCTGCACTGGTGTCCTCGTGTCTGTAAATGCTGTCATTACCTTCCTCCACTCAGCACAGATGCACCCAGAAATCCTAAGCTTCATTGTCCCATTTTTGCAGCAGTTCTTGGGCCCAAAAGGAGCTGTAGGAAGCGTTTTAGTTTCTCTGTAGTGATTAGGAACACAGTGCTTCCTTCATGACATACTG